AATTTCACCTTTGGTTTGCGATATTCAGAAACCTCTAAAATTCGCAGCTACCATCATAAAAATTCAGCTATCATTCACTATACAGTCAAAAGTCGTTAATATGGACACCCATAATCCGGAATGATCTATAAACCGGACCTCAAAGCTAAAAACTTTCTGCGCATGCGCCGTGTTGACACATGCGCATAGACATTTACGCATGCGCGTAAGACCTTTTACGACTGCGCTATGCGTGTGCGCAAGTGCAGAAAACCTTTTCGCGTGCACATTTTTTGTATAACGGACGGTATAAGCTAAAATTATCTAATTATCTATTTCAGTTAATGTTGATGATTGCGTTGTTCCTTAATCTTCGAATTGGATCCGGCTTATTATTTTTTGCAGACTGTGAGAGCAATTTTATAAAAGTAAACTTGAACTTTTGATTATGTCAAATAGAATTTCCGATTCTGGAGCTCCCAAAGGATCGTACAAAACGAAAGTATGTTTCGATGTCCATCAAACAAAAAGTGGAGTTGCTGCAAAAAATGGATAAAGACATGAAAAATGTAACAGAGAGGTTAGTGAAAACGAAAAAATTTCGATTGACAAGTTAGTCAGTATTCTCGGCACAGCAATTAACGGGACTTGAACAGTGGAACTTTGTAACTGAACAAGAAATCATGTCTGTTTATAGAATTAAAGAGATCATATAAAACGAAGCAACTTAAACAACTTACATTAAAAGAAATGTTTAATAAAGTAAACAAATAAATATTAAGCTTTTTTTTGTAAATTTTGATTATAATTGTTCTTTATTTCATAAATTACAGTTTCATATTTTTAATTTTAGAATATCTGCATGCCATCTTACGAGATTTAAACTGATGATCTATAATCCGGAAAAATCGATAATCCGGAATCGCTGAAGTCCCGACGAGTCTGAATTAACGACTTTTGCTGTACATATTTGGCTATGTATCATGAGGTTGGCAACTAAAGACAAGTTGTTTCGCTAAATTTCTGTGCACCGAGACAAATATGCCTGAATTGTGTTAGTTTAGCTATTTATTATACTTATGTCTATTTCTTACTTCTGTCTAGCTTAAGGCTTATCTGAGTTCTGAATAAATAAATTCCCACATATACGTATGGTTTATGAAGGGCCGACGCGAGATATCTTACTGCCTGATGTAGTCTCTGCGGGTCCTAAATTCTGCTACCAAACTTCTTCCTTTGTCTTCCCTAAATTCTGCCGCCCGTTGTGGCCATACGAGCCCTGGTGCTGATTTCTAGGTTTATGTGAATAAAAAATCAGTTATTCTTAATTGAAAGAGCACTAAATGTAATCTTTTGGTCTATGAGTATCATTAACAAAATCTATTTTTAGCATATGGAAATAAATTTCTCCCTGTCAACATTTCGTAGCACATTTAACTTAAATTTGTAATCATTGCCAAGCATAATGTCAACATAAAAGGTTACCATACTCTTCATTATTCAATTAATAACATAAAAAATTGTTTAGGCATCGCTATATGAGTCATTATTCAAGTTGCCATGTGTTGATAAACATGCGGTGATGAAAGCAAAATATAATAAATAATAATTTGCCACGTTGGGATCAGGGATATAAAATATTAGTAGTTGTAAATTCAATGATATTTGATGTAAAATGTTTCGGTTTCAGGTGTAAGCCAAGCAGCAATTTGGTAGTTACAGAGCCAAATTATTGATGATACAAATTTATGCTAAAATGATTGTTTCTTCAATAACGAGGTATTTTATTTAGTGAAGTAAAATTAAGATTCGGGGGGGGGGGATAAAGTGCACATCCACAAAAAATAAAGCATATAAAAAAAAGTCGTTCAGGGCTTTGAGGTCCAGATTTTAGATCATTCCAGGTATTGGGCATCTGGATCTCGCACTTTGTACTGCACTAGTTTTAGTGTAACTGATACCCAAAACAATGGTTATTAAGCATGTTCTGCAACAGATTCTAGTTTTGTTGGATTAAGGAGTATTGTGATGCTGTCATAGTCATGAAACTCTGATGTCTATTGTCATTTACATATTAGAGCCAGTGTGATTCCTCATTATAGGTATTTTATCTTTCCTCTACTAAACATATATTTCTTCGTTATTTCCCTCACATGTTATTTTTCCCAAATTTTTAGCATTAGGTTCTGAAAATTTTAAAAATATTCATACAGTTGTTTTTATGATATCTAGTTTCCCACTCTGATGACTAGTTTATTGGTAAAAATGGATGCAAAAAAATGGATAAAGGCATGAAGAAAGTGACAGAGGTTAGTGGAAAAGAAAAAATTTCGATTGACAAATTAGTCCAAGTTAGTCAGTATTCTCGGCACAGCAATTACAGGACGTGAACAGCGGAACTTTGTAACTGAACAAGAAATTATGTCTGTTTATAGAATTAAAGAGAAAGTATTAGCACATAAAATGAAGCAATTTAAACAACTTACATTGAAAGAAATGTTTAATAAAGTTAACAAATAAATATTAAGCTTTTTTTTTTGTAAATTTTGATACCCTTTAGATCATAATTGCTCTTTATTTCATAAATTACGGTTTCATATTTTTAATTTAATAATTTCTGCATGCCATCTTACGAGATTAAATTCATAATCTATAATCCGGAAAAACCCCAATCCGGAATCGCTGAAGTCCCGACGAGTCTGGATTAAAGACTTTACATCAGTTGGTAAAAATCAAGGTGAATACAATGAACTGAAATTATCATTTTTTATTTTCACTAATTGAGCATCTGCGTAATATTTATTCAAGCATTAATTTTTTTTTTTTTTTTTTAAACATTAAGAAAAAACCGGGGAAAAAAAAGTTATGGTGCAGTTACAGGAATGGAAAGATTTTTATGTTAAATTATATAACTCTGTGTAATCACTAAGAATAGCAGATTATACCTTTTTATTTTTTCAAAAGAGCTAATTGTTGCTCCAAATAAAATATATAAAAACTATGAACTATTTTTAAATCTCTGCCACCTCATGGTTACATTTACTTATTTTTGTAATTCGGTTGCTGCTCGAGCTGAACTATAATTTATATTTTACAAAAGTTTCAGGTTTTGCAATAGCATAGGTATAAATAGATTTAGTAGTTTTGTTTTCTTTATTACTGACTTCATGCTTGCAAAGTTTTTAAAGTTACTCAAGTAAAAAATCTTGAGAAATCCAAATACTTTTTTTTTGATTGAAAAGAAAATTGCAAAGCTTAAAATCTAATTACTATACTGCATCCTAAAAACCATTTAACAACTGATGGAAAATCGTTGGTGTGTGACATTTCACTCTTTTGCAGTATCTTCAGTACTTTTCAGTTAACATAGTGCGAGTGGCCAAATGAGTGCTAAAGCACCAAATTGATAGCCTGTTTATATCATGTCATGAATAAGTGTGCAGTGTGTAATGTGTGCAAATCTGGCATCTTGCACAAACTAAGGATATTAAACATTATATATACATTGTTGGATTCAAAAGTTCCTGGACTGAGTCTATAACATAAAAATTTTTGCAGTAGTGCGACTACGAGAACGTTTTTGTTACTGCGTTCTCCCCCTTTTCTAAAAGTGGTTTGTCCCAAATCATGTGGTCGAAAGCTCGTGGCGACAGCTTTTTTGTAGGCAGGTGCATTTAGTAACTGCCAATAGAAAGAAATGGCATCAGTTGAGCAGAGAATCAATATAAATTTTTTTTTTTCACTTGGGAAAGATTTTAAGTGGCGTCGTTTCAGAGAAGGCAAGGAAAGTGCCGAAGTCGACGAACTCTGTGGCAACCCTCTGATTTCACACACCGATGAAAACATCAAAAAAGTGTCTGCAGCAGTACGTGTGAATTAGGCAGCAAACAATTTGCCGAATAGTAGAATCATTTGATATATCAGAGGCTACCTGTCCGCAGATACTGACTAAGGATCTTAACATGCATAGGGTGTGTTAACACATCATTCCCCACATGTTAAACGTAGACCAAAAGGGAATTTTAATGGAAATGGTGGGAAACTTCATCTCGGATGTTGACAAAGATTTTTCCCTACTTGGCAGAATTGTTGCTGGAGACAAGAAATGGTGTTTTTTGTACGACCCGCAAACCAAGAGAGCATCGGCAGTGTGGAAATCGCCACAATCTCCACGGAAGCAGAAATTCTGCCAAATGATACATAGCTATTATTACAATATAATTTTGTTCATGAAGCTTTGCATTAGTTTTGCTCCCATTTGGTTATATTTCCTGCAAAAGTTTTATGTTTAGTACTAAGTTATGCTCTTAACAAAGAAGTATTCATTTTCTTTAAACATCTCAATAGAAATGGAAAGACCATATTTGATTGGATACATCTTTTTCTGTCCACAGGGAATGTTTGTATTTGTAGACTGGCTACATTACAATGACTTTAAGTGTGTGATTTTCCTCTTATATTTTACGAGTAGTACTGCATCAGCTCTTGTTCAATTAAAATGTGTTTTAGGTTTTCGGTGATCTAGAATTCTCATATTGGGAAGTAGAAGTTGTCATATGATATGCTGATGCAATGTGTAAGAATTTAACAGAGGTTCATTACATTGTACATAATTGTCATTTATCAGAAATTCATTACATCTTACAGTAATATTAAAAATTAGCATAAAATGTCAAAATGTTGTCCTGAATACTTAAAAGGCAGGACTGATATTTATTATCAATAAAGGAGCCGTAGGATATTTTTAATCTCTGACAGCATACTTCTGAAAACTGAAAAGTATGCTAAATGATGTATAGCAATAAGGGATTTTGATCCTGATCCATAAGTTGTTAAACACAAAATTCTTATTTAGCTGGTAGTGTCTAGTATCCAATTGAGTATAAAATGATATTTTTCTAGTCAACATTTCAGAGTTATTGTGTATATAAAAAAATGAAACTTTTAATATCGAAATTATTATATTTATACTTAATATCGAATATTATATTTATAGTTAATAGCGAAACAAAATTTTTCAGATTTGCTATAGCAGATACTGCATTTCGTTCAATGAGAGAGGAACGTAAGGATCAATGCATACTCATTTCAGGAGAGAGTGGTGCTGGAAAAACAGAGGCATCAAAAAAGCTATTGCAGTATTTAGCTGCTGCAAGCCACCATGCTCCTTCTGTTGAGAATGTAAAAGATAAACTGCTGTTGTCAAATCCAATTCTTGAGGTTGTGCTTAAATCCATATTTTTTAATTTTCTTAAAATATTATAATTAATTATATATGAATATTTGATATTGTAAGGTATAAAATTATGAAACTAATATATATCTTAAGACACAATAACACGCCGAATAAATACTAATTCAGAAGTCAAACAACAAAATCAGCGTTAATTTTTACAAATTTTCACACAGGACTAGTTTCGATGGTTTTTACCGAACCATCATCTTCAGCTGCAAAACCGCAAATGAACAAGATAGGAAATAATTTTTCGATAAGATAGAAAGCCTGGACAAGAATAAGCAAGTGGCGCCATCTGTTGGCGAAACCGAACTAAAACATAATTTCTCTAAAAGCCGAAGGCAAATTTGGATTGGAATTAGGATTGTTAACTAGAACAGAAAGATTTTTATGAATGTGAAATGCCTCTAGAAAATCCAGTTCTCCAATGGAAGATGTTTTTTGAATAATTTTGGCAGCAGAAAAATTGAAAGTGTGATTTTCGGACCAACAATGTTGAGCAACAGAAGAATTCTGTGTTTCCTTTTTTCTAACATATGCCTCATGTTCTTTGATTTTCTGCATTGTTTATCATGCCTTCATTCGTTAATCGTTTCACTAAATTACGCCTGAAACGGCAAAAATTCCTGAATCATCTTGACTTTTTACTTAAATGTAAATGTAAAAAATTGATCCCCAATTTTATTCAAATCAAATGTAATCAAAAACCTTCGAGTTGCGTTTCAAGAATTCTGTTAAATTGCAAACTTGCCTTACTTCGGTCCGTGATAAGGGATACATGTCAACAATTGTCCAAAATTGAACATGAACTCTATAAGCTTCATCTGGAACTCGCTAAAACATATCCAAAATTCACTGCTCTTGAACAAAAGTCTTGGTCTAGAACGGAGAATGCAGTTAACCGTCATAAAAACACCCTTGCAGTTAAATTCGAAAAATTTCTTTTACAGTCTTCCAGTTCAAGTAGTTCAAAAAATCTTCCCATTGTAAACATCAAGCCAATAGTTAATATTTTTCTAATGTTAGTCTTTCAGAAGAACAAGAGAGATTCTAAAATATAATTTTAAAACTTCTCACAAACCTGTAAACCCTCGATTCCAAAGATTTTGGCTCCTATCGAAAAAGCTTTCAATTTTCAGTAAAGTTTCAGATTCACAGAAAGAAATGATTAGGCATCTTATCGCTCATAATGTGAAATTCAATAATAAACCTTTGAAACCAAATCTAACTGCGAGAGAAAGAGCTACAATGCGCGAGATTCATTCTAACCCGGGATATTGTCATTTCAAAGGCCGACAAAGGTGGCCAGATAGTCGTCATGGATAAGAACACTTACATCGATGGTGTCACTAAACTCTTAAACGAAGGAACATATAATCCGATCCCTAAAGATCCTTCACCTTCGGACTTATCCAAAATAAAAAACTGCGATCAAATCTTCGCAAATCATTTCAAGCAACTTAAAACATTCGCTTATCCCATCTGTTGCGAATTGTGCCAGATTATATGCTCTTCCCAAAATTCATAAAAGTGATATTCCTTTCCGCCCTATTGTATCAAATTTAGGTACTGCCTCGTATCCATTAGCTAAATATTTAGTTTCTAGATTTTCCACTCTATTAGACAATAACATTTACACCATAAAAAATTCAATAGAGTTTGTAAAAAAGGTTAAAAACATTTCTCCTCGTAATTTACTCATGGTTTCTTTTGATGTAAAATCATTATTCACCAATGTCCCAGTGGAGGGTGCATTAAGATGTCTAGAAACCAGACTTCGCGAATTTCATTTCTCTTGCATCGAAATTGATGAGCTAATTTCTCTCACTCAACTCTGTTTAAAACAAACACATTTTGTTTTCCAAAATAAATATTACAAGCAAACTGAGGGATTAGCCATGGGAAGCCCCCTCAGTCCCATCCTGGCTGATATCTACATGCATTATAAATCAAAATTGTTTGAAACTTTAAACTTCCCGGCATGGTTCCGCTACGTAGACGATACTTTTATCCTGTTTGAAGGTAATAAACATGATTTAAATAGAGTTCTTTCAACAATGAATTCTATTGATCCTGCTATTCAGTTCACTTTTGAACTTGAGACTTGCAATTCTCTTCCGTTTCTCGACATTCTGGTCACACGTAACACATCCAACTTCAGTACTACAGTTTACCGTAAACCTTCATCGGTTTGCCTTCCACCACACTTTAAATCATGTCATCCGACTAAACAAAAGTTAGCTTCATTTTATTCCTATGTTTTCCGTGCTCTTCAAGTTTGCTCCTCCAAACTAGCCCTTGATGAAGAGCTAAATTATTTAAAAGCAATAGCTATTGACAGGGGCTTTTCACCCAACATTATTAATCAAGCAGTTAAAAAATTATCATCTCAACACACTAAAAGCCACACTCTTATTTTAGGAGATTATAAAAATTCTGTTGTCATTCCATTCTTTCCATCAATTAGCTATAAAGTTGCACATATTTTGCAGAAATTTAACTTTCGGGTTGTTTACTCTCCCATCAATAAAATTCCAACTTCTGTACTCAAGGACCCCATTCCGGATATGAATTCCTGGGGTATTTATAGGATTCCTTGCCAGTGCGGTTTAATTTACATTGGCCAAACTAAGAGAGCCTTAAAATTTCGCGTCAAAGAACATGAGGCATATGTTAGAAAAAGGAAACACAGAAGTCTTCTGTTGCTCAACATTGTTGGTCCGAAAATCAACACTTTCACTTTTTTCTGCTGCCAAAATTATTCAAAAAACATCTTCCATTGGAGAACTGGATTTTCTAGAGGCATTTCACATTCATAAAAATCTTTCTGTTCTAGTTAACGATCCTAATTCCAATCCAAATTTGCCTTCGGCTTTTAGAGAAATTATGTTTTAGTTCTGGTTTCGCCAACAGATGGCGCCCCTTGCTTATTCTTGTCCAGGCTTTCTTATCTTATCCAAACATTATTTCCTATCTTGTTCATTTGCGGTTTTGCAGCTGAAGATGATGGTTCGGTAAAACCATCGAAACTAGTCCTGTGAAAATTTTGTAAATTAACACTGATTTTTGTTGTTTGACTTCTGAATTAGTAATATATATCTGTATGGATTTTCATGAAAATTGTCCTCTCATTATTATCATAAATATTTTGAGTAATTCTCATTTTTAATTCAGTAGAACCCTTCAAAATCAACTTTGAATAACTTGACATCCACAAAATTCATTATTCCTCTCCATTAGAAAATATCAGAAATCTTAATGAAAATTTTCACATGTTCTTATTTTCCTTCTCTAGGTTGTTTGGTTTAACAGTAATTTTATTCTTTGAAAAGATGGGCATTGCTTATAACTTGTTTCTTTGGTCTTGAGGAATTGATTTTTCTACTATAACCATCCCTGGTTGGATTCTTGAAAGTCAGAAAGCTTGTGTCCGTAGACGATCACATGCTTATCATTTTGGGATAAATATAAAATCTTCCTGTCGCTCATTGTTAGTGAATCCAATTATCTGAAGTCAGGGAAGTACATTTATGCTGCAGCACAGAATGGAAAAGAAACAAGATAAGTCAATAGGACATCAAACTAAATTCATTAAAATAATTGAATAAAGGAGAAAGTATAATTAAAATAATGATGGATTTAGGCATTTGATGGATAATATTTAAAAGTATGAAAACAAAGAAATCTGAATATATGTCGCAATGTATGAAAAGATATTGTAATAAAACTTTGAAAAAAGTTAAAAAGTTATTGAATATGAAGAAAATGTGCAAAGATTTATTTTATGATTAAAGCAAATAAGAACGTAAGAAATGTCAATAATAGGTTATATTCACACCCAACTGCTCCTAAAAAACACTTCAAATTATGTCAGAAATTTCAAGAAGGACGAGAAGTAGAATTTACTGTAAATGTTGGCTTGTTTGACAAGTGGAGAAAGAGGTATAGGGTATGATAGATAAACATCTGTCATGGAAGATATTTATAAATTTAAGAACAGTTTTCATGAATTTATTGATAATGAGGATCCCCGTTTCTTTCATGACTAAGCTTATAGATGAAGGTATGAAGAAAAAAGTTTATAAGAATTTTGGATGTAGTAAGATGAATCTTTAAATATTAGGCTGGGATTAAACTTTAGCTTCAAATATTCTTGAAGAAAATTGATTTTAATTTAGGAAATAGGTTTCGAAAGAAAAAATTTTAGGCTTACTAAAGATTTAACAAAGGTGATTTCATGCTATGAGAAAAAGTCTCCTAGTGATGATATGTGAATGGATGAAGTAAGATGAAAATGATCATCTAGGAAATAGTAAAACTGTTATTCTGGTTGAAAAAAATATTAAAAAAAGAAAGAATGAAAAAGTAGAAGATGAACGAAAGTTAAGGGAGATACTTTCTGAAAGACTGAAGGTTATTAAAGAAGTCTGCATTATTTCAAAGAAAAATTGCAAACTGCAAAAATTGCAATTTTGCAGTTTTCCTCTATTAATTGACAAAATGATGCAAGAAAGAAATGAAAATGTGAATTTAAAAAATATTTTTAGACGCTTCTTCAAAATTAACTAGTTGTGTTTACATATATGTAAATTGGTACTTGCGTATTATCCCGCCAATCATGAAAATTGGCTCCATCAAACCATGGGATTTACCAGAGATCTCATCAAAGTTGCACCAGTCGTTCCCGTGGAATTCTGAAGGACACCTCTTTATTAATAAATAGTCGGTATTCAACTCGCTTCATTTTTAAGTAGTTCGTAAAAAAGCTTTTGCGAATTTCGACTATTTTGTTAGGATCTACAATGTTACCTGAAGCTTGTATATAATGCTGAGTGCAAGCTTTTCACAAATAACTGTTCCAGTCACTGTTTTGCTGGCTATATTCAACTGACCATATGTTGTCCATTAATACACACTTTTTTGGTGGCATGATCTCAAAATTGGAAATAATCCATCGCTTGCTGTTTTGTAGAAAGCAGGTCCCAAATTTTTATCATCTTTGTTTTCAAAATGTAGGGAAAAAGTACAGCAGTAGCAGTGAAATTTTATGCTTGTTCTTGAAAACAAAAGGTGGCTTATTAAGAATCAATCAGTGTTGCATCAAACAAAAGTGCAGATGTTATGAGTGTGCTGTTATATCATGCTTATCAATAATTGCCATTAAATTGTGTTGCCTGGTGACAGTTTCATGGTTGACGGGATAATGCGCGAGCGCAGAAATTTTTAGAATTTTCCCTGGTAGGACAGTAATTACTATTTTTAGCTTATATATTTTCTTGATATTAATAATAGTTTTTTTAAGCAAATTATTAAATGATATTAATAATAGTTTTTTTAAGCAGTATGTGATAGTAATTTAATTTGAAGTAAGATATTCACTTTGGAATAATTTTTTATGCTTTACTGCAGAGCTGTTGAACTGGCAGCCCGCCAAATTATTTTTACGGCCTGCGAGTACATTTTACTATGAATAAATTTATGTTACTTAATTATTATTATTAATTTAAAATTATTTTACTATGTGAAAATTTAAATCTAATTTGAATTTAAAGTAGGTACTATTTAGTTTACGTAACTTCACTTAACCTGGCTGAATACAGCAGCAATCCGTTTAATGTTTGATGATGGTTGGTTCAACGTTGGCACCGCATATTATATTTGTGGTTGTTTGTTTTTTATCTATGGTTGGCGCACGTGATGCGCACACTACCCTGCGCTATTTGGTTGATTCATGCAATCATGCGGAAATTTTGGCCGGGAACTAATTCTGCTAATCAATTCTTTTATCATTAACAGAAGATTTTATGTCTCAGTAGGTCAGGACACCTCTAGCGTCAGAAGAATGTGCGCCGGTGCAGCCCAGGGATCCATTTTAGGACCTATTTTGTATCTTTACTATATGATGGACTTCCCTAAATTACAGAATGACCACAACAGCTTTCTTGGATGCTATGCAGATGACAATACATTAGCGATTAAATCTATCCATCCAACGCACGCTATTCAAAACCTGCAGATCTTCATGCCTAACATTGAAGACTGGTGCATCAAATGGCGTGTCGCAATAAATGCTCAAAAGTCACAAATAATGATTATCAGGAGAAGGCAAAGGAAAGCTATTAATGCTATTCTCAGTCTTTTAAATGAGACGATTCCACTTGTAAAGAAGGCAATTTATTTAGGGGTTGTCATCAATCATAAGATCACCTGGTCAGATCATATTGACAAGGTCAGACGAAAGGCTTTGTATATTATTCACCAATTAAATCCACTGCTAAGTTTAAGCTTGAAACGCAATCTGGTCAAAAAGAGGCACATCTACACTGCTGTTATCAGACCGGTGCTTTGTTATGCCTCACCGGCATGGGCCACACCCTCCAACTCAGAGATTGCAAAATTACAGGTCACCCAAAATAAGTATCTACTCCGGATTACGAACACCCACTACTTAATTAGCAACGATACATTGCATAAAGATTTAAAAATTGAGTATATGGATGACTACTGCAGCTTACAAATGAAAAATTTTTTGCTAAAGCACGTTAATGCCTACATCTAAGCTCTTTAAATGTTTTTAATTATGAAATTCTCCAAGAAGACCACGATATTTACCCCCTCGCAGCCCACCTCACCCGCAATTCTAATTTCTCCACCTAAATACTGCACCGTATATAGTATAGATATAGTATATAGCTTCAATTTCATTACTAGCATTTTATTTTATTTCATTTACTTGGCATTATATTTTGTGTATTCTCTCTACTTTCACATGTTATTCTTCATGCAGTATTAGGTTCACACCTCGCAGTATTTTGCTTCTCCATTTTACAACTCCATTTGCTTCACTGGCCTTATTACTGTTGGCCGCACACCTTTCCACTCCCTTAGTCTTCCCTTGGGATACCACGGTCATGTAGCATTCACATTATGTGCCATATAGACAAAATTCCTGTTATTGAGCCTGACACGTTGCACTGCCGCGCAATATCTTTTCATAAAATGCTCGGATCGGATCGCAATCGTGCAAGTGTAGTCTTGTTTAGAATTTGTTGAGGGGTGACTGTGTTATAATATTATTAACTTAATTTCATATTTATTTATTAAAATAATTATTGAATATGATTGCTACTAATAAAAGAAAAATAGACCTTGAAAATCGAGAATTTCAAAATCGTTTGGAGATACATTATTTATTTATTCTGAACAAGAATGGCAAACCACAGTGTTTGGAATGTTTACAAATCATAGCTGTGTGTAAAGAATATAACTTGAAGCGCCATTATCTTTCATTGCATGAAAAAGTACCATTCGTACACGCGAGACATGAAAATAGAAAAAAATGAAAAAGCAGCTGGATCATCAAACGATTTATTTTAATCAAGAACCAAAATTTCAAGAAACATCTGTAACTGCATCATTTGAAGTTTGTTTAGAAATAGTAAAGGCAAAGAAGCCATTTTTGAATGGAGAATTCATTAAAGAATGTGCCATAAAAATGGCTCAAGTATTTAATAATAACGAATGGTAAGAAAATTTCAAACGGTATAACTTTCTTATCAGACTGTAAACTGACGTGTAAACTTGATTAGCATGCATGTCACTAATAACTTAGAAAACCTAATCAATAGTTGCTGCTATTTTTCGGTAGCATTTGATGAAAGCACAGACATTTCTGATACAAGTCGGATGCTTATCTTTATAAGAACTGTAAATGAAAACTATAATTATCCAGAAGAACTTTTAAAATTACAATCATTACACAGAACAACAAAAGGTGAAGATATTCACAAACAATTAAAATGTTCAGTATAGCAGTATGGCGGATTTGACAAGTGTACTGCTATTGTAACCGATGGTGCTAGAGCTATGATGGGCAAAAATATAGGGTTTGCGGGACTCTTGCAAAAAGAAGGAATAACATGTCATATGTTACACTGTATTATCCATCACGAGGCATTATGTGCTTTATCCCTGCAACTAAAAGACGTAATGGACAAGGTTTGCAAAATTACTAATTTAATTCTCGCTGGAAATCGTTTTCTTAAACACCGAAAATTTAAAACATTTTTGAATGAATTGGAAACTGAGTAATGGAGATCTGCTTTTACATAGTAACGTTCGTTGGTTAAGTGCTGGAAAGTACTTGAGGAGATTCTTTACACTTTGAAAAGAAGTTCATCTTTTTCTCACGGAAATTGCCGTCAATGAAAATTTGACAGCAAATTTAGTTGATAAAAATGTTATTTATTCACTTGCTTTTCTAACGGACATTACAATTATTTAAATATTTTGAATAAATCCTTACAATGACAAGATCAAGATGTATGTTGCCTTTATAAATATGTTACTGGATTAAGAAACAAATTAAAATTGTTAAGGTTTAATTTGGAGGAAAATAATTTATTTCATTTTGAATCTTGCAAAGAGATTCACGAAGAAATGAAGGAATGTAATATAGAAGCGAATTTAAAAATATTTCTACCAAAATTTGATACACTAATTACAGATTTCAATGAAAGATTTTCTCAATTTGATGATCTTAAACCATCTATTGATTTATTTTGTGATCCAATTAATATTGATATCAACTTTGTTGATCTTAAATATCAAATAGAATTATGCGACCTGCAGGCTGACCCATTTTTTACATCTCGTGGAGTAACTGGAGTAAAAAATATTCAAATTTTTAGATAATTTGGACTTCAAATTGTATCAATGTTTGGAAGTACCTATATCTGCGAGCGTGCATATATAAAGCATGAAATATATAAAGTCAAAATATAGAAACAGTTTTAAAGATTCCACTCTTGAAGATATAATTAGACTTGCCACAACAAATATTGATGTGGACATAAAAGATATTGCTGCTAAACAATTATGGCCACAATGTTCTCATTTTCTTTTTAGTATAAATAAAAAAAAATTTTTATTAACATAAATTGACTTTTCATTTATCAACCTTTTTAGCCCCCAAAATGTTTGGTGAAGAAAATATGGCTTGTGGGTTATGATATAAGTTGCACAGCGCTGCTTTACTGAACATAAATACATTTTTGAAGGGTTTTTACTATATATGAAAGCTGGCAATCAGTATTGTAACTGAAAAGTGGCAATTTTTATAAAACATTAGTTAATATTTTTCAACTGATAGAAAAATGAGTGTGTGATGTTTTATTTTTTGAAATGCACTTTTGGAAACAAGATTTAAAATTTTAATATTTGTATTGGTTTTATTAATATTGCACAGTATATTTTCTATGATATATATATTTCTGTGTATTATATGTATATATACATACACATGTATACATGATACATTTCTATGATATGTATACATGCATGGAAAAAATATTTAACTTATATCGAATTTTATTTTATATTTATATACATTCTTTTATTTATCAATGATCTTGCTTATGTAGGCTTTTGGGAATGCTAAAACTAATAGGAATGATAATTCAAGTCGTTTTGGAAAATATATGGATGTAGAATTTGATTTTTTGGTGAGTTTTAAAATTTATTTGGTTTGAATTCACTATAATTAAACACTTTTTTGGTTTGAATTCACTATAAGTAAACTTAACTTATACTGCTCTTTTAGGGTACTCCTTTAGGTGGTCATATTTTGAACTATTTGTTGGAGAAATCTCGAGTAGTACACCAGAATCAAGGGGAAAGAAATTTTCATATCTTTTATCAGCTTCTGGCTGGAGCTGATGAAAATTTTCTGGAGGATTTACAGTTAAGAAGAGATCCTTCTGCTTATTTTTATCTCAGTCAGGTAAGACATCCAAAAAAGCAGTAATATTAAAATTAGTTTTCCTTTAGAGTCTTCTTGTTGAAGTTAAATCTGTAATAATAACCAGTATAAATACTGAAATTCCATAAATGAATGGAATTTTCTCTTTACATCCTACAAAATTTGCCTAGGGAGTGTTGTTATTTTTTATGTGATTATTTTGCCATTTGCTAATTCTTAGTATAATTTGTAGCTACATGTGATACTATTTGGCAATGCAAACATGTTTATCATATTCATTTGGTTGAGTTTCTCACAGGGCTCAAATACCACTGTCGGTTGCTTGGAGGGGATGACTTAATATTCAGGCAATACATACCAACAAAAATTCATAAGTATGGTATGAAACTATTCAAACTGTGCTTCCATGAGGGGTATATATGGTCTGTGAAAATATATTCTAGGCAAGATACCGGTGGAAGAAAGCAAGTTGCCAATATGCAGGTAAATTACTAAATGAAGAAAAAACTTAGTTTGTCAACAACTTTTGCATAAGCTATGAATTAGCAGTAAAAATTTCTTTAATTTTAAGATCCATGTTGTTGGAATTGTGTAGTAAAAAAAAAATTGTGCCAAGTTTTGTGATGTTGTAGCCATTGAAAAAAGGTTAAATGATAGCACAAGAAGATGGCAATGTTATTGTGCTGCTGAAATGGAGAGATGTTTGGAATGTTAGACTATTACCAGTAAAACATGCATCTGTTATGACTTAAAGCTTGGATTCTGCTCATAGCGGTTACCCTCCGGAAACAGGAACATTTGGTGATATTGGCATATAATAGTGGAAAAACTGCCTTCGAAAGGAGCAACTAGGTAATGTCGTATGCCAGAGCAACATGGGGGAAAAAAAAATATCTGAAATGTTTCAGATTTTAAATTACGTCCAAAGGGGCATTTTTTTACATTTTGTGTGTTACCTTTCTTTATTAAATATCATGTTCCTCGCACTTAAACCATAAGATCCAGTGCAACAGCAATATCGCAAAATAGTTTTAAAACGAGCATATCTTTAGAATTTCCGATACAGAGACTCACGCGCTGGAGATAAAAATGTTTTTTCTGCACAACGTTGCCATTGCTCGCTTTGAAGTCCTTGAGTTTGTTAATCAAAAATTCGTCAATGTTTTAAAAAATAGGAAATCGATCATAAAACAAATTTCAAATTTCAAATTTGGTTTTCCACATGCTCATATTCATTGGAGGATTACGTTATTCAAAATTCGATGACTCTATGTACCGTTATTTTATGACAATGTGAGAAATATACATACATTTACGCAGATTTTCATTATTTAATTTCTTCAAATGTAATGCAGGACTCTAACATTTTATGGCAACAGTTTGAAAAGTGAATCGACATTTATCCGTCCGACGCAAAATGCCAAAACGAAGCTAATAGTCCTTCGGGATTCAAATCCCTTTGGACTAAAAAAAAAAAATCAAGTGGTATCGAAAATTACATTTACTCTTAAGAACATTTTCAATTATTACTGATTATGTGGTTAGATTGCACTGCCTTCTCCTTCGCTTTATGTTGCTTTTGGTATAAATACAGCTGCGGCTTCTCGCTTCGTTGCAGCATTTCGTTGTTCGTAATTAAGAGGACATGTACCTGTTTGTCCTCAAAACTCTTGGTATTTCTTAAAATCTATGCCGCACACAAGGTTATTGCTTTGCCTAGTTGTATATTTGGCATTGTTACTGAAATATAATTAGCATACATTCTGACAATCTGATGTGAAAAGCAGTGGACTATATGAAATTGCATTTTTTATTCTCAAGCCAAAAGAAAGTTTCAAGTAACAGCCAAAAAAATGCCTTTAGGTGGGTACTCTTTTAGGTTTTTTTTAGCATGAGCAGTTACTTGATAAACTAAAAATAAATTGTGTTCGTACTAGCAGCGGTCGCTGAACACTGGTAGTTCGGTCCGAGGTTCGAATCCTGCAAACGGGCTGGCTGCATGGGCGTTTTCGTGGTTTTCCCCATGTGTAACGTGTATACGAGCCAGTTTCCCTTAGAAAGTCCTCCACGAAGGCATCCCTCCCTTAAGGCAGATAGCCCTCGAGTGCTTTGCCGTAATCTAATAAAACCAAAACCAAAAAAAAAAAAAAAAAAAAAGTACTAGCAGCGTCATCTGCAAATGTGGTGATATTTTGTGTTGGGTGTTTTAGTTGATATTTTGGCAATATTTTGTTTGTATGGCAATTCTTACATGGAAACTTGTGGGGAATGTGCTTTTATTCCATCGTGGTATTTCTTTGGTTACGTGTTGAATAATGGTGTATAGTTCCATGAAGGAAGTTGTGGAGAAATATCAACCATGTGTTTTAGAGTGTATTCAAGCTAGATGTTACCACTCTCCATACAAGCTGGATGTATGGAGCGATATCAACCATGTGTTTTAGAGTGTATTCAAGCTAGTTAGTGTTAGAGATGGTACGTTTGAATAATGGTGTATAGTTTCATGAAGGAAGTTGTGGAGAGATATCAACCATGTGTTTTAGAGTGTATTCAAGCTAGATGTTACCACCATGCTACCACTCTCCACACAAGCTAGATATATGGAGCGATATCAACCATGTGTTTTAGAGTGTATTCAAGCTAGTTAGTTTTAGAGATGGTACCTTGTTAGAATTATTAATGAAGCATTTGTTCACGGTTGTTTTCATATTGACAGAAGTGTATTTTTGCAGTTTTTATGGGATACAGGATTTTTGAAGCCAAACTTGACATGTTAGAACTGTGGATCTGATATGAAGATTTGGAAAAAAAATTGTTTCTGATGGATTTTTGTGGATTTGCCGAAAAATTGTTGAATTGAAAAATGTGGTTCTCGACGAAGTTTGAGGTTTAGATTCTTGTTTTCCTGCAGTAAGTTGACTTTAAAGGAAATTTTTATTGTAATGTTTTAAGTTTTGAATCGTAGAAAGATGTCTGACATATTGCATTTTGGGTCACATGCTTTGTGTGATTGGCATAGTTTTATTAATGAAAGTATATTGGATTATATATGTGATGTGTCTGTTCTTATGAGTTTTTGTTTGAAATTAATATTTTGGTTTTTTGGGAACTATTTTGAATAGTAAGTGAATTTACTTTTTTATTGTTTTAATTTTGTAGAGATTTATTTTAATTGTTGCATTGCTTTAATTTTGTGTTATTATTTAAAAAAATTTTTTGAATTTATTTGTGTTGAAATTGTTTGGTGAATTTTAAATGTTATTTTAGTTTAAATTTGTCATCAAACATTTTTGATGAGAAAATTCACACTTACCTAATTTTTTTGTTTTTGTTTTGGACTTTTAGCATAAGTGAAAATGCAAAAGACATTTTTTCAAACAGTTTTAGGCTTTAAGTATGTAAATAAAAAATTTAGATAAGTAAAATTGTGGTGTTTCTCGCCAAAAATTGTGCCAAAAATTGTTCGGCAAAAAATTTTTCACCAACCCAGTCCATATATGACAGCTGTTCCATTTTCTCATATGTTGGATTACTTCTGTTTTACAAATTTTTGGACTAGGTCCACTGAGATTTTAAATTTTTATTTTTTAAGCTGTACATATTTGTTTTCAAAATTTATATTTATTTATATTTTTTCAGATATTCGATTAAAAAATCTGCCTACGTTTTTGTTTTCAAGTATTGGATTATTATTTTTGATAATTTTTTTCTTGGACTCAATCTACTCAAAATAGTTGTATAAATTTGTCTTTTTTGTGCAATCGTTTTGAGTTTGTCTGTGTTTCTGCTGCTTAAGTTTTGCAATTTTGTTCAGTGTTTACTTCGGCTTGTAGGGCTTAGACTGATCAAGACATAACTTTTGTTATTTTTCTAAGACTATTTGCAAATTTTAGGCTTTAATTCATGTCTGTCATTTTAGAAACAGGCTGTTTTATTTATTTACTTTTTACATTGACCAACCTTTGATGGTGATGCAGCAAAAGATGCAAATTTCATTTTTCATTTTGGCATATTTTGCCACCCCCCTTTTCTTGCATTTTGCCACTATGCTTCTGGTTTTTGGTTTTTACATGTGATTTATTCCGAACTGAATATGTGAGGAATTTCAAATGTATGTTTTATTTTGCATTATTACCACCATTTGTTGCTGCTATCAGTGTGTAGTTGGATTAGATTTTGAACTGTTTTTTACTTTGTAATTATTCACTTTATATATATATATGTTTAAAATACTTTTTTTGAACAAGTTTTCTCTCTAAATAAGTAACATTAAGAGAATTAATGTAGAGCAGCGGTTCTATACCTTTTGACTAACACATACCACCTAAACTAAAATTGAAAAGCTTTACTACAACTGCTGTATTTTACAATGATTATTTTTCAATTTTCCATTTAATATATTTAAAAAAAATATATGTTTTGCCATTTGCACAACCTACTGACTATTTGTATTAAATATGCACACATAAAAAATATTAAAAATTGGTTACCATTTTATTTATCAAAATTTAAGTTATACTATAATTTTAAAATTTAAGTGCAAAATTAGGGCCTGTTTAAGAGAGATCAATTTCTTTATGTCTAGTCCTATTTCACTTAGTTTTAATTGTAAATTAGGATCACTTTTAATTTTGTTCTGTGTTTATTTTTCAAATGTAACATGGAATAGAATCTTTGTAGGATGTGCAAAAAGGCAATAAAATTTAATAGCTTTATTTTGAAATGCCTTTAAATTCTTCTTTTTTGGTCTAGCCAAAAGTTAACAAGTGTGTTATTTTTGAAATCTTCAGTTAGAGTTAAATTACAGAAAATTTCTATCAATTGTTCTTTTTCTTCACAAGATAAAATTTCAGGTATATTTTCAACAAAATAGACTTCTAATCCAATTTTCTTTTTCATGATACTCAGGAAAATACATATTGAAATTATTTACTAATGAAAACAATGATTTTTATTGTTGGATGCTGATTCTTCTTTTAATTTCTAACTATTTTCGGTTAGAAAACTTTTTAAAAGCGCTA